ATCGAGTTACCAACGAAGAAGTATTGAGGAGAGTCGACGAGCAAAGAAACATTCTGCAGGCGATTACACGAAGGAAAGCTAACTGGCTGGGACATATTATGAGAAGGAATGGATTACTGAGTGATATCATCGAAGGCCAGGTTGAAGGAAAGCGAGATTGTATACAGCCTGTGATACAGCTAACCGACGATCTGAAACAAGGAAAGAAGATGAAGTTCCAGGAATTAAAACGAGAAGCTGAGAATAGGGAAAACTGGAGAGCTCTTTTTGGGCAGAGCAATGGACCTGTCGTCAGACAGAACACTGAATAATAATAATAATACAGCCAGTCTACGGTTTACAAAAGTTCCATGTTACAAAATTTCGTTCATACGAATTTCTTATAACGAAGAGCAAGCTCTTACCTTTTCTCGTCATCCAAATGCGTTTATCCGAAACCTTCCGAACAAAATCAAAAAACGCAAACAAATGAAGTACAGAAGACGCAACATCACCCGGTCGGTGAAGCCGGGCTAAGTCAGTTCGCCTTACGCCAGGTTTTGGTGTGCATCTTGTAAATAATTTAGCTGCTTTTAACTATTTAATAGCATATATTAGCTCGTACCTTTTGTTTCAGGAAATACAATTTCTTTTCTACATTCCTTGGTCGTTCCGAAACCTAACTCCTAAACGTTGCTCTTAAGGAGAACAGCGGCTCGCTGAACGAACTCTTTCCAGGAGGAAACAGTGAGGCAGCCCGCATCGGAGTTTGCTGGACTTACCTCCCTCCCCCCTTCCAACACCGCCCAACGAACGACCATCTGTGGGACATCAGCATTACACATGCCCAGGCTGGCAACGTAACAACTTGATTCAATTTTCTTAAGATTGCTCCAGCGACCAAGCAACTACGGCTACCACAGATGAGCTGTAAAACCACATATGGACTCTAACAGCCACATGGCACAGTTGTGGTCTGACTTTGTTCGTAGTCTCTTATGAGGCGAGGGGCTGAAGCAGAGGAGAGAGAACGAGTCTAATTTAGAAAATGAAACAGCATTACACAAACGTTTACATTTTGTCACTCGCAAAATGTCATAACTGAAGTTTCGTGCGCAAGATGTCCTTATAACTCAAAGTTCTTCCTGTCTCAGCCTCCGTTCAAGGACTCTTAACGAAACGTCTAACATAGGAAAAGTTTACGACTATAAAGTATCCCTGTGGTTAATTAAGCACAACTCTGTGAAAACGAATCAATACCCTTTAATTAAACGCTATAAAATAAAGACGAATAGGGAGTGGAACCTCAGCTTTCGTTTCTGTAAGAAACTACGTTTTACACCCATACACAACAGGGAACATTATAGTTTTGTAGTCTGTCAGATGTTTATTGTTCTTTCCGAAGTGTTTGGGTAATGTGTGTATTCCAGTGGAGTACTCTATCTAATTAATCTTTTAAACCTTTACAGACAATTCATTCGGAGCCCTAAAATGGACTACGCGAATGATAAGACCTTTTTTAACACTTTGAGGTCTGAAGTTCATTTGAAGCAATATTTTAAAACTGAGTACCTCAGTGAAAACTACGTGCCTCCATTACAAAAATCGGTGTTTACAGTGAAAATCATACGAAAGCCATACATACATTCTGCGCGCAAAATTTTGGAATTACCCTACTGATCGTCAAAGCAAATAGCGCATAGTCACCACTTAGCTTCAAAGGCTTAAAACATACGGAGTAGAGAATTAAGGCTGAAATCTGAATCTTACACAAATACAATTGCTTAATTGCTGTAATGTAACTGTTTTATAAACAGTAATAGGAGACAAGAACACTTAGTTTAAACAGAGCTTTGAGTCAGGTCTGTTGAACAATGGATTCCCCAATGGAATGTGCTAGAACGTTAGAATTAATTTGAATCAGAGCTCTGCGGTTGAGGAGGCACGTTGAGGCTTGAGGCAGTGAGACAGACAAACTGCAACATCGGTGTCTATTCGAATTCGATGCTACCCTCATGACCGATGTGCAGTGTCTGCAAGACGATATCAGTGACAATAAAAACACGCTCAAGTGTAACTAAACACACAGGCCCAATTATTGATAAATGTATGTGCACGTTTTGTTAAATATCCTTTAATTTATTTTAAAACTTCCACTCCGAAGGGTCTGTTAGTATTGTGTAGAATTCCCAAGATAGAAGAGTACTTGTATTAAATAATAATTGTAGCGTGTTTTCTATAGTCTCTTATTTTATGGAAAGCATTATTAATATATTAAAAATCATCAGAAAATGGTAAATTTATAAAATGCACAAAAATATATATCTGTGACTTGCACACGTCAACTAATGTTGTACACGTATCGAAAACAATGTGGGTATGATAAAATGAACATGTAGCTCGAATGGGCAAACTACCCACCGATGCTGAACTTTGCTGGACATACAACTTGAAAGAGAGTAAAATAAAAAGATAATATTAATACTAATCTTACGGAAATATTTTATGATCGTGAAAAATGGAAGGAATTGTTCCCGTTCGCGTTGCCTGGTCTTGCATGATGAAGGTGAACTTCAGAGGTAGACAGTTACTCTACGTAATTCACCAAATTCTAATTGAATACCATGAAATGATACGGTGTAAATGTTGCTACTAAAACTACAAGTTACAAAACTTATCAAGCAATTAGAGAAAATACATTACGGCAAAACACTTGTCAGCTGCTTGTTTACACTCTGTAATCACTTTTTCGCTCAATTGCTTTAGTAACTACAGTTAATTACAGTCATTAATTACAAACACCAAACGTCGAACTCATGTTCTCTTGTATTTCCTTAAAATATTCACCATACCAAATCCTAGAAATTTCTGAAATGAATGCTGTAGAGTGTAATGAGGCATAATTTTATATTCCCTACGTATATATTGTGTACGACAAATCTTTTCTGTAGAAACTAATAATGTTCTATATGAACAAAAATGAAATTAGCCCATCAACACTCATTGTGAACTTCCATTGCCAGATTCAATACAAGCCCATTCATTAGTTTCAAGGATGAAATATACAGAGCTGACCTTCACATTATGCATTCAATTTATGCCTTTTATGCAAAGAACTCATAAAAATATGTCGATTCAAAACGAGGAAGTGTACTAGTGCATTCCAATATTACTTTATTATTTTTTATACGTACGTCTCACTTCAACGTTCAGATATAGGTCAACTGTACGCCTACACTTTCTTTGCCACCAACTGATGTTGTTACATCGGCTTAAATGCAACGTCATAAAATACTAACACTGCGCAGTAAGACTCTTATAGCAGAACCCGGCTCTGCGTGTGCTTTGCAGCAGGAGTCCTTGAATTATTTATATTATAGCTATTCCAACGCGAAATGAAAGATCAAAGAATTTCTCTCGATAAAACCCGAGCTCTCTTTCGACGTCATAAAATCAAAATTTCGCTCAAGAGTGGTTTATCGTCAGGCCCTTCTAATATCCATAAGCGATGTGGGAGCCAGAATCGATAACAGATGCCTCAGAGCTAGTGTCAGATTGGTTTACTGCCGTAACAGAGTTACACCCTTACACAAAATCTGTTGGTAGATGCGTATACGAAAAACAGCCTCAGGGTTTCCTTAAAAAGCTTTTAAAATGCATATTACCGCTAAGAGATACAATGAGAAACCTGTGTACATGCATCGAAAGCTCCAAACCCAATAACGTGAAGCGCGAAAAGATAAGTAGTGAAATTTTCTTTAAACGAAAGTTGAAAACAAATAACATTTCTAGGGCGCGCAAAGTCAGAGAAACGAACGTGACATGTTGTAATATTACTTACCATATCGTATCGTAATGATAAAAATATCGATTAACCGGCGGTCCCCTTAATTATATGCAATATCTGTACTACCGTTATCACATTACTTATTAACCAGTATTTATTGGAGTTCAGTTTCTCGTCGGTATAACAATAATTACGTTTCTCGAAAGTAAGACCAATGCTCGTGACGTTGGCGTCGATTAGTTTATGGAAGAACCCACATCTGCTTCATAAACTGAAGATAACTACAAAGATTCCTAGTCAAGATAACCGATAAACCTGTTGAGATTCGAACCGAGTACCTCCAGAACGCATGTCACAAGCGCTGCTTTAAATTTCCTTATTATTTATTCTGGGATAGTTACGCAGTCGATATTCGTCACCGCTGAAACAAAATGTGATTGAGAGTATATATGAATTTCCTATAATAGCACATGCAGCCAATTTAACATAAATTTAAAATTCGTGAAGTGACGCAGGGAATCGACTGAAAACTCAGAGTCTAAAGGATCATTTTTCAGGCCAAGGTGTGCGACATTTCCACCAAACCTTTACTCAATCCACTGAAATTTCTTTTGGTCTGCAGGAACACAGACGTGCCCCTAAAATATAAGCAAGATACCCCAGTATAATGTAAATTTTAAAGAAAATTAAAATACAAGACCCTAAGTGTGCATCTGGCTTTCAGAGGCACGTTTCTATTTATCAGAAATTCTCCAAATTATCTGAACAATGCTAAAGGTAGGTATTCAGTTTTCCGTAATTTGTTACTATGAAATTGTGTGAAAGAATCAAGTTACACGCGTCTATGTACATTCTTAAACAAAAGGGATTAACCTCCACTCCGCATATTTACGCTCCGTCTCTTGAATTTAGCTGCTAAGGAACGAAGAAGCCACTGTAAAATTTCTTTCCATCTCATCACAAGAATCTGATACCTGTTCCTTAAAGGCAACGCTTCGAACTACCTTGCACAAATATTTAATAACAACATTCCTCCACTCTTCACACACACACACACTCATCTGCAAACTTTCGGCAAAAGAATGACGGTTCAGTATTTCAATTTCAAATTGCTATTAAATTCGATAAGATAAAAAAAGAAAGAAAGCTGTAATCGACCTATAACGAGGAGAGAGTATTATTAACACTTTTATCGGCATATATTTTAGGTCTCACTGACCCTTTAAATGGATTTCGTAACCAGAAAATGATACACACAAAAGAAAAGGACATGAAATTATAGGAGAAGCCAAGCCATCAAACAATCGTCCTCATAATCATTCACACAGTAAAGTATTAAAAGTAACATTTACAATGACACGTCTCACAAAAATAATTACTAATATAAAATATGCCACGACCAATTTCTTTGTGCACACTTCCAGTAACTCCCACATAGTCGTCCACTAATCTCAGTAAGAAAAACTTCTTCAGTGACAGAACGTTGTAAAATAAACAATAAGTGTGAAAATAATTATTAATGTGAATTAGGCCACTACTGTGTCCTCATTAATCACTTCCGCTGAACAATTTAAAATCATCTCCTAAATCTGTCGGAGCGGTGATACGTTTTTCTTTTACGATCTACGAGTGCACCAAAAATATCACGAAAAGGGTAACTACTGATTTATCCGTGATCATTTATAGTAAGATATTAATAATCATGGCATAATCCCAGTCAACATTAAACAATGAAGAAAGTTGTATGTCGTCCTCAAATAATAACTGCTACTATGAAGCAGGTCTGTCAATTTAAAAGGACAGAAGATACACACAATTTGCGAGGAACAGTACGTCCACGTTGGACTTAAAGAGGAATAATCTTTCCATTCAAACAAACAGCGCTCTCTGTTTCTTTCATCCACTGCTTTACAGAGTTGAGTCCATACCTTACAGCTCAGGATGAATGGTCTCCTCACAGCAACAGCCGGCTAAGTTTCATCGTTGTTCTATCCTGGGTACCTGGAACCATAAATGAGATGAGATGAGATGAGATTTGGGGTTCTCACAGCAGCGAGTACAAAGATGGCTGTCTCCCGGGTTGTAGAACCTTGTAGTCTGGTAAAAGTTTACCGACGTTTCAAAGATATTTACGCCAAATTTAAGAAATTAGTAGGCTCCTATGAAATGTCAGGAAACGTCTATCATCCTACACGGTGCAACGACCGAATATTCGCGACACAAATCTAGTAGCAATTGAATAATTTTCATAAACATCGTTCATCGAGACGAAGACTGTTTTACTGAAAACACGGACAGACAGGCAGACATGCCTGGAAAAACTGACGTCTTTGCTTGTTTACGACACGAACCCAAAACACGAGGTGTTATTACGTGAAATAACAAGTGTTTCACCTTTTGTTCAGCTACAATAATTTCAAATGAATTTAATATTTCATTTCTACAATTCTAGAGCTTCAAAGCAGTCCAATTTTAACTGCAGACATTGAAACCTTTAAATTATAGCTGCTATTGTCTTTAAAGTGTTCGCTTGACTCTCAATTGAAAGAACACTATTCACTAATATTTATCAGACGTCGCAGGTCTTTTATCAATAATTCTGCTGTGCATCATTCCCTTACAGCTTTCACTTTCATCCACTTTAGGTACTTCAAATCACAAAACCTTTCCACCTGTTTCATCTTCTCGTTCATTCGGGACAAATGAGTCGCTTTAAATCTAATTTTAGTGCTTCGTTACTTCTTGAAAAAAAAAACACAATTTTCTTTACTTCGCGAAAGAAAGTTCAGTCGTCTTTAACCAGATCAAAATAATTCCATTCGTTTCGTCGATGTTTTACAGCTACTATATGATTTATAAATAACTTGTGACGTCAAGATTCTGAATATTATACAGAATGTTCCAAATGCCCCCTCGTTTAATTTCAACGAACTAAAATTTTTCATATGCAATCAATAAACACCTCTGGAACCTCGGTAAACTACATGGTGCAACAACCCAGAAGAAGCCATCATCATATTCACTGCTGTGAGGAATGTCACACAGTAGCAGAGCATTTCCAAAAACTATCCCCACTGAAAAATCATAGACAGAAGAGCCTGTCAGGTTCCTGGGATTCAAACCGAGCACTTCCCAAATACAAGTGAAGAACCTGAAGCTTTGATCTTGCTTGTATGTTGCTTGTCTTTATTACTAATATAAAGGGAGTTACTTAATTTACACCAGTTTTCGGCAAAAAAAAATAAATCCACTTAAAATTATGATGAATTCTTCTACGGTTAGCAGTCGTGTAAGATGGCTTAATTCAGAAAACACCAATGTTTCGAGAACTATCTTCGTCCTCGTCCTCAGGATACTGAAGTAGTCAGAGAATATATTGTTCCAAACTTTCAGGACGAAGTGAGATTAAAATAGTGGTCACGTGGTTTACTGGGCTGTATAGTATACTGGTACACAGTCAGATGACCGGTGTGTAAATACGAGAATACTCCGTTAAAATATGGTTAGGGTTAACCAGTAGCCCGCAGGCGTGTTTAGAAAAGAAGTCAACTGGCTACATCTGTCAGCCTGTCAGACGCTGGACAAATAAGACTTTCTTCCAGCGGAATGCTATATTTTACAGGTCATGGAACGGCCTCAACACCAGGGAATTTGATCAGATCAAGCCACTACGGCCATGATAGAAGAAATTTACAATGCGCGCCCACACAAAGACAGTGATAAATGACAGAACAAAGCCTACAAGCTAACTACAGGAGAAACGACGAAGACCCAAAGTCAGCGATAAATGAGACTTGTTCAAGGGTTCCAAAGTTGCTAAGAGAAGTCTAGCGACAAGTAGCGAATGTCGGAGGACGTCACTGTCTCTCTTCAATGCCTGAAGACAGTCTTATGGATCTACGGGAACGGATATCCGGACGACAAGCTGCTTTGTTTTCATCTGCCACTCAAAACAAATACAGGTATCAGAATACCAAACACAGAATGTCAACACACCAAGTGAATTTCTTAAATGTCACGCACTTCTGCTGCGAAATTTACACAGAGTAAACAACGCATGACTTTATAGATGATTATATTTCGCCCACCGACGACTTTGACGGCGGAAGGACGTCGGTCATCTCTCTCGTTTACGGAAACCGCTAGACAAACGTTGATATGTCTGTCTATACTTGGTTTCTCTAGAAAGATATCTAGACCTGAAGAAAGATAATGTGAAAAATTTAAGATATTGATTTAGGAGGCACTTCGCAATTTTAAAGTTCGTTCAATATTGTTATTCAAATCAAAGAAAGTAGAAAGAGGTTGACAGAAACCTCAAATATAAAGAATAAAAAAATACTTGTAGAAATTGGTGGTTAAGCATCTTGGGCAGCTTTTACTACAAACGTGAAGAATCTAGCCCGAATACAAAAATTATAGTTTAGAAAGGAATATTTTGAGAACAAAAAAAAATTAAAATAGCCTGTAGTGATATGTGAGGTTTTACAAGTGGAGTAAATCTTTTGCACTTAGCAAGCGGCAACTTCTTTAGCTAGATTGTGTAGCATGTAGTATAACGATCAGGCGTGTCCAGTCACACGAGTTCCTTAACAACGTCGTCATGAGATACACAATCAAGAGAAAATAAATACTTGACCGAAAAAATATCACTATTTGCTAGGCGAGAATATATCAGCTAAATGAAATCTATCTGAATAAAATTTTTCTTGGATATTATCCATCGTCTAGTAGATAAAATATAAAACGTAAAACGACGTTTCGGAGATGGGGCTCTCTCTCCGTCTTCAGGTTCCTACTCAGTTGGGCCCACTAGATAGATCCAAAAAAATTTGTATTCAAATAACTCATCACCATCGTCAAGAACTTTTAGATTTGATATAAATGAAATCTACTTCAAATTGCACAGATTTCAGATTAGAAATTCTTAAGGTATTAAATTTAGAAAACGCCTGCTACCATTTGCTTCAGAATTCATATATCCCCCTTCTCCAATCTAAGAAGAGTCTTGTCTTTTTAAGGAACAGACACAATTTTGGAATTCCAAACTATGAAATACCGAGTGAATGCCATAGTTCCGCCAGACGCAAAGTCATCTGTGAATTTAGCCCGAAGCTGTGGGTGGATTTGTGAAAGACAAACTCCATATTTAATAAAGTTCTGTTGGGCGCTGGAAACTCACTCGACCTATGATTTCGGTTCCACTTAGTCCTCTGCTGCTTAAATTTAGTTAAAATAAACAAATTAGACAGTAAGAGATAATTACATAAGAGGCTGACTGCAAAACTGGATTATATATGCAGCTGATGACGAAAAAGCAACACCGTTTAAAAATATATTCCCAAAGTACAAACCAGCACATTTATCACACTTGGGCAATACACTTATACGTATCTTACAACCAGAATGCGCCGTATTCGAGTCCGGACTTAGTGTCAGAGAACTTAACCCTGTTTTACTTAACTATCAGTTCATTGACTAATCTTGCTTTATTTACTCATGCATTAGCGATTATGAATAATTAACTGTAAATATGGAAGAAACAAATTTTAATCTATTTTTATATAGGCTTTACACGAATTAGCTAAATACAGTAATAAAAAACTTAAATCAGAATAGCTAATGCTAGGGCCGAAATTCGAACCACAGACTTCCAAAATAAAACAAAAAAATAAAACCAGCGTTAAAGAATCCGTATGAGTAGGATACACACAAAGATTGCTGTCTTCTGGATGAATTTATCGCCCTGATGATGGAGGCAGCAAGGACCGCTGAAACGTCGGTAAACGTCTACCAGACTACACGGCGCAACCCAGAAAACAGAAATCTTCATACTCACCGCCGTGAAAACCTCACACACAGCTACTTGCTGAGAAGATACATAGCAAACCGCCTTATCCATCAATCAAGCAATCAGTAGCCAAATTCAGCAATGCATCACGTGGAGATAACTTTGTGTTTTGACAAAATCCTTGATATCACAAAGGAAGCTCTGGCAGGAGGAATGTGCGTGTAAACGAGCTCACCAGGGAGTCGTATCGCGTCACTCATCAAGGCAAATAGGCCGTCAGATGATATCATCTTCCCATATTCGTCTTACCAATCTTACATGAGGTTCAGCGTGTGCCTCTCTTCACACAGATGCATTGGATATTTGGTTAACGAGGTGAAAATTTATCGATTGACGTTTCAGATGCAAGAGATGATATAAAGAAAGTTCTGATGAGTGTGGTTAGCTCTTTAGACCTACGGACGTGTTTCGCGTTTTACACAGCGATTATTAGGAAAGTAAGCCAAGGGAACAACGAGAGTCAGCTGTAATATGCAGCCTCATACATTCTCACTTCTTCGTAATAAAATATGGAAGCGTACATAGAACACAAGAAAGAATAAACTTGCACGTCAACTTCATACAGTAACATACAGAGTGTCCCAAGGATACGTTATCATTTTGAGCAACTATATTCGAGTCGCTAATTCACCAAGTGCAAATGTTGACGTAATTGTTCACTTCGTTAAAATATTTTTTTATCATTCATTGAATGTCTATAAATATCTTTTGGGGGGCCTTCTGTACACTTCTCAGTAAGACGGTACTTATAACACAAAAAAGAGTTAAAAGCAAGGACAAAATATAAAAACTAGTAAAACAGCCAACCAGTTCCTAGATTGCCAATTCTTCTGTAATGCTCCCAACCATATGACTTAGTTAAATTTCACTTTTATTTCATTTCACACTGTTATACAGTACCAAGAAACACAATAAAACACAGACGTGACGGAACACATTTTAGAATTCGCCTTCGTTTTATCTTTTTATATCCTTTTAAATACACCATGAAATTCTTAGCTTCATTTCTTCTGTCTTCGTGTGTTTCCGTCTCCTTATTATGCTGAAGGCATGTTTTACGTCCATGTTTCCACATCTCGCATTTCACGATTTAAATGGCATCGTACGAATATACACGTGCTTTCCCACGTGATTTTAGTTCCAGTCAAGGCGGCTGCAAAAACACGTTAAATTTTCGACCTGTTGTTAATTTTCGTTCCATGAACACGATAAAAACTCGAAGCAGTTTGCGTGTATTCATGGATTTAAGGATTCTTTATACCAAATCCTATTTCTTTAGAATTACCAGTTCGGGAGCAATGTCTAATCTCCCATGGGCCTTAAGTTACTGCCGTAGAAATTAAATTAAACTTTTAAAAAGTTGTCAGTGGATCCACGGTTCCGGAGAATTTGACGTAAATACGTCTATACGGAAAGGACGTTTATATATTGGCTTTATTCTAAATATTTCCTTTATACATGCTTTACAATTGAGATAAGTTTGATTAAGACATTGCTTATTCAACTTCAATTAGTTACGCTTAAGATGGGTCTGTGGTAGCTGAACGTAATGTAATGTAAGGTAATGTAATGTAATGTTTTATAGGTAACAACAATGCCGAGTAAACACGACGTTCCCTAGGTACACTTGTTACACTTTTTCGTTTCCTTTTTTCGTTTCCCTTTTTCGTTCCACTTTTTTTCCTAATGACCCTTCCTTATAGACGTATTTACGTCAAAAATGTATCACTGTAGCTTAATCGCTTGGGAATGGTGAGAAAGACGGGGAATTTGAGGACAAAACAAAGAGACGAAACTTATAGAATGAAAGAACTGACCCCCCTTTAAGACAAAAATATGGCAACTAAAGCAGGTTTCACTGCGGAATGAAATTGTATATGCCCAGAATAACCTAGAAATATAAAAAAGTATATTAAACCGCTTCTGATTCAAACATATTACTTTCAGAGTACAGGTCCGATGCTACTTGGCGAGTTCTGTTTCACTTTGTATCCCCGGATTACAAAACCGACTCAAATATCAGAATCTATCTATCACAAAGTCAGTATAAGGGCGTCTTCTGTTGAATGAAAGCAGCGTTCGATACAATCAATATCATTTTCACGCCGTAGTAACTCAGTTATATCTCAAGTATCTCTCTGTAACCTACGCTATTTGGAATGGTAATATTAGGAACTCATTTTCGATACACCAAAGAAATATGAGTTTGCCTCCTAGTCTTCCCGCTAGATGTCATTATCCACAAGTCGTATAAAACACCAGACGATCTCTTCAAGCAAACACAACACATCGTATTCGCGGGACAATATCGTTATTCTGTTCGTATTTTAGTCTGCGTCGTCGTCAAATCTTTGATTGGTTTACATGCTGCATTATCATTTTTTTTTTGTAAGTTTCCTCCCTGATGAGCTATTCGTATGCTTTTATCGTTTCGATAAACCTCTATCGATACAGACCGCACGTATAATCGAAATGTCCTATTTCGATCTTTTCGTCTTAACACTTACGACTGGGACGCTGCTACTGTATTATTTCACATCAACGTCTTTCCTGCCAGTGACAGTTGGATTGATCTTCCCCAGAACGGACAGCGACTTACGGATCCTTTATATGGCTAAATGCATTACAGTTTTTCCGCCCTCGTGCTGTGCAGGCCACTAAATTACTTGCCTTTACAAATTATCTGTCACAAAGCGCGGTGATTAGTAGATAAGCACCCGGGACAATTTAGTTCACAATAAATTAATCAGAAACTAAACATTCCTCTGTTCCTGTCTCGAGCTACTATTCCTTAACGCTCAAGGGCTTTACTTTCATTCCGCCATTACCAAAAGGACGAAAGGGAAAGGTCTGGGAACCTTATAAAAAGTGAGTCTCTTCATCGCATCAGAATAACGTGTCTCTTGCTTTTCCCCACGATTGCATTTGAACTTTAACCAAATAACTCATTAACCATCAGTCATATCAGCAACACAACGAAATAAAATATTACGCAGCATTAAGAACGTTAAACAGTTAAAGTGGAATTTATGTAAACAGTACGCAACAGAATGTAACACACCTTTGTTAAATCTTGTGTAGGTTTATATTTGTTTTCTCGTTTTTATATTTCTTTATAATAGCCGACTTGCATCAACTTAAATATGTATCTCTAAAAACCATTTTAATAATGGTTCTAAAAATATAATTATGTATTGAATTTGAAGCAATAATCCTGCAGCAAAAAAATTAAGAATTGAGGGGCAATAGAAAAATTCTTACTGGCAGTTGTGGGAAAAATGCAAAAGTTTTAAAGTTTGAAAACAAATCCTGTAATGCATAAGAAAATAAATATACCGCCAGAGGGGAAAAAGGTCGGCCCAGAAGACAGCCATCTTCAGACCCACCGCAGTGAAAACCTCAAACCCTACAAAGTAGAAAAGCTCTATGAGTAGGAAAACCAACATCTGGGAGCACTGTGCTGAATACCATTCATTCGCTGACAACAAATCATTTGCTGTCACACGTAAGATTTTCGCCTCACTTTGCGTCATACCCACCTTTACATCTCCATTACAAGATTCACAAGTCTCTGTATATAAGCCTTCCAAAAATTTAAAACGATGCTGTTAAATACAAAATTCAAGTAATAGGGCGTCGTTTCTTACTATTCAAAAAAAAAAAAAAATCCGATGGAAAACTTTCCTGAACACGGTATTTAAATTTCGGGTCCTATAAAAGGGTGACTTACTGGCTGTCTACGAGCGTATCACCTGAAAAATAAGACTACATTCATTGTAGTAACTTTTTCTATTACACTTCGTAATTTCGTGTGACTAATATCGATAACTTACCGATAATAATAAAGTGTCCACGATGCGATCTCGATGTGCCGACCATTCTATGAATCAGGGACGTGCGCCGCTTAGCAACATGGCAGTTTTCACTGTCGTCTCGACGCTGTAAGCAAACCATAACACATGCAAATATATGATCCAAGAATCCGTTTATATTTCTGAAGTTTATAGCAAACGAAAGACAAAATAGAAACGATTTATAACAGGATATTGTTTATATTTCTCTAGGCTCTGAATGAAAGCACTCGGCGTTGGCTAAGGTCACCGGAGAGTCAATATAGTACTTTGCGACTTCCGCTTTGACAGTGTAAATTTTTGGATGTTTTTAAGTTCTTTTCACTGACATAACACAGGCCAGTTCATTGCTTCAGCGGAAGACAGGAAAAATCACGCTCATTAATATTCAATTTAATTACATTATATTATCTGCGAAGGTTAATATATCTTTATATAAGAGTAGGATAATCATAAATACTGGGATCGTGGGTTCGAATTCCACTCAAGGAATGAATATCCGCGTCTTTTCTATGCTGTGCTGTACTTTCCAGGTAAAGTCCTTAAGAAGGGCTCATCACCCGTCCAAGCAGTCCTACCAATGTATAAATACATTACGAAATTTCCCACGTGTGTGATGAAGTAAGGAGACTGCCATGGTCTGTTCTACGTTTAATGACAAGTTAATTTTATTATAATCGGTTTGCTGTTAGCTCTTGATTTTACACAGGTGTACGTGTCTTGGTTCACATTGTTCACACAACACGATTGTACAGTATAAAGACTTTCGCTTCGCTAAAAAATTTGACCAAGTGTATCGAAACGCTTGCAGAGATATAAACCACTTTCCCAGCTCACAATCTGTGGCTTCGCTGGGCCTTGATAAAATGCTTAAGGAGGCACACGAACAAACAGTTATCATCCCCTACAAAGTAGAAAAGCTCTATGAGTAGGAAAACCAACATCTGGGAGCACTGTGCTGAATACCATTCATTCGCTGACAACAAATCATTTGCTGTCACACGTAAGATTTTCGCCTCACTTTGCGTCATACCCACCTTTACATCTCCATTACAAGATTCACAAGTCTCTGTATATAAGCCTTCCAAAAATTTAAAACGATGCTGTTAAATACAAAATTCAAGTAATAGGGCGTCGTTTCTTACTATTCAAAAAAAAAAAAAAATCCGATGGAAAACTTTCCTGAACACGGTATTTAAATTTCGGGTCCTATAAAAGGGTGACTTACTGGCTGTCTACGAGCGTATCACCTGAAAAATAAGACTACATTCATTGTAGTAACTTTTTCTATTACACTTCGTAATTTCGTGTGACTAATATCGATAACTTACCGATAATAATAAAGTGTCCACGATGCGATCTCGATGTGCCGACCATTCTATGAATCAGGGACGTGCGCCGCTTAGCAACATGGCAGTTTTCACTGTCGTCTCGACGCTGTAAGCAAACCATAACACATGCAAATATATGATCCAAGAATCCGTTTATATTTCTGAAGTTTATAGCAAACGAAAGACAAAATAGAAACGATTTATAACAGGATATTGTTTATATTTCTCTAGGCTCTGAATGAAAGCACTCGGCGTTGGCTAAGGTCACCGGAGAGTCAATATAGTACTTTGCGACTTCCGCTTTGACAGTGTAAATTTTTGGATGTTTTTAAGTTCTTTTCACTGACATAACACAGGCCAGTTCATTGCTTCAGCGGAAGACAGGAAAAATCACGCTCATTAATATTCAATTTAATTACATTATATTATCTGCGAAGGTTAATATATCTTTATATAAGAGTAGGATAATCATAAATACTGGGATCGTGGGTTCGAATTCCACTCAAGGAATGAATATCCGCGTCTTTTCTATGCTGTGCTGTACTTTCCAGGTAAAGTCCTTAAGAAGGGCTCATCACCCGTCCAAGCAGTCCTACCAATGTATAAATACATTACGAAATTTCCCACGTGTGTGATGAAGTAAGGAGACTGCCATGGTCTGTTCTACGTTTAATGACAAGTTAATTTTATTATAATCGGTTTGCTGTTAGCTCTTGATTTTACACAGGTGTACGTGTCTTGGTTCACATTGTTCACACAACACGATTGTACAGTATAAAGACTTTCGCTTCGCTAAAAAATTTGACCAAGTGTATCGAAACGCTTGCAGAGATATAAACCACTTTCCCATCTCACAATCTGTGGCTTCGCTGGGCCTTGATAAAATGCTTAAGGAGGCACACGAACAAACAGTTATCATCTTAGAGTGAGAAGAAACTGCCGACAATGACAGAGCAAAGTGGCAATCTGCCAGATAGAAAGAAACCGTCGTCTCGTTGTTAAGTTACCCCCCCCCCCCCGGGGGGGGGGGGCTTGTAATTAGAGGGGTTGTTGAAGGAAACACGAGCTTTATCACACTTTACTGCCATAAACTTGAATCCATTAACTTTTAGTGGCTTGCTATTTCATCTCTCAAGAAAAAACTATTTAACAAATTGAACAGTAACAAAATAAGCGAAAGAAACGGAGAATTCGCTTTAACGAAATAAGGAAAAGATGTAGAAAAAAATATTGCGAAAACAAAGAATGAAGGCCGAAATAAGAACGAACAATAACAGTTACAGCCAGATTACAAAGTAATCGCCCGTAACGAACGGACAATTTAACCACACTCGCAGCACGCCACCATCTGACACTGAGCTACACGATGAAAATTACTCCAATATTGCTGACCTTTTTTTTTAAAAAATTTCGCCTGCAATATACTAACAGCCAGATCACGTGACGTAAGTAATTATTTTGTTTTAGAGTGGCTTACAAGCCGAAGATGCACTAGGTCAGACGCTCTGTCGGATTATCGGCTATCAAAACTGGAGGAATGCACGCGTGGGTGGCGTTCTATAATCGACTAATTTCCTTTTATAACACGTATAAATGTGCACTAGGCACACAGACTGAAATAGCGTGCAAGTCAATTCCGTTACTTAAGGGAACATTCCCAACTAAGAAGCAACGCGTTATAAACAAAACTGTCAGCAATGTATTAGCAGCGACCACAAGATTTATTGTACACAATCATCGCCACATCCAACATTCGACAATGCATCAACCCTACATAAACTATAAACGAGGGTATTCACAGTGAGAGTTGCGTCGTTTATTTACTTACTACTCAAGAATGCGAAGCAGTTCTGCTCTGTTCACACCAGAGACAGCATTCCAAGGTTTTCTTGACGTATTGGCTTCGAATGATTCAACAGAGACTCATGACTCACTACCATCGAACGCTGTGGAATATGCATATCGATTATCATTACTGCTTCGTATCTGAAAGGTTCCAGATTTTAATTTGCACCCGAACAGCAACTTCCGTTTTCCATGATTTCCAGAGTGGCTCTAGGGAAATTGTGGAATATACAGGATGAGGTTTTCCCGGCTATGAGTCTGAAGATGGCTGTCTTCTGGGTTGCAGCGCCATTTACTCTGGTAGAATCCTCCATCATCAAGGCGATAATCGCCTTGATGATGAAAGCAGCAAGGACCTCCGAAACGTCGTGCAAACTTCAACCCAGAAGACAGCCATCTTCAATTGTTGAATACCTTAATACGAGATACGATAGTTTCTTTGTATTTTTTAACGTTTTCGATTCACAATGCAGAGTTCATATTCAATACCTTCGAATTTTTATACGTTATTCAATCTCGCACAATGTATTAAAGAATCACGTGCTTGGTATGGAAATATAGCGTTCTGCGCACTAAATTATTGCTAAGCCAACTATCACATATATGGACATAGAACACTGTACGGGCTATGAAAAATGTTGTGTCAACCAGCAATTGGACGGGACAAGGAGAAAATTGTTGAGGCGAAAAGGTATTTTACATGTGCATGCATGTATCGGTTTTGTCACCAACGTCTTTGGAGTGTTAATCCCCAATCTTCCTTGTCCACACACTGTCCATCCACACCTCTCTCAGCCATTTCACTCTGCCCTCACACCATTCTTCGTCTGTCTTCCTCTCTTCCTCTCGTCCTTGTTCCTGGTGGCTTTCTGTAGGCAACTGTGAATAAATTATTTCCACTTTCAGATCCGTTTTGTGGTTAAGCTTCGCATCTCTTCGTGATACACACGCACGAAACGTCCAGTGCTTCGAAGGGCTAATCAGACTCGACAGACCTGACGTCGTGAAACTGCTTTGTTTCTTCCACTTGGTATACCAGCCTCTTTTCAGTCACAGTTTGTATATGTCATAGAAGGAATCAGCAGTCCGGGCTTGCAGTAAACACCTTCAAACAGCTGCCAGAAAGTAAATGAACGTCAACATGTCTTATCGCAAAGTGACCTCCAACCTATAAGCTGCTACGTTTTTCATTTAACGGTACATCTCAGGGAACTTCACAGTGCAGTGGCAAGAATTCTGCTGAGTTTCAAAAGTCATAACTTTAGAATTATAGACGTTTCTGCTTATCTCGATCAGGGTGTTTATTAATTTTTCTCAGAGCAAATGTCAGTGTAATTTTTTTAAAAAAATTTATTACAAAACATTCTTGACAGCGGAACGTCAAAAGAAATCCCATAGGCAAACGATTAGATCTATGCGTTTCTCAAGAAGTACATAGATCCATGTTGCCGAACGCAGCGGTTCACTATTTTTCTCCTCTGTGCCGTGTCTGGAAGATGCAGAGTTCAAATCTCAGTCCGGAGAACGAATATCCTGACAGAGCTTCTTTACTTTTCCCTTGGTCCCACCACGAAATTGCAGGGTTAGTATCTTAAATTTAATCAGGACGTTTCCTTCAAAATCAGCATCCTATTATATTCATTAATCATCCGACAGTACACTGTTAAGCTACTGACAAATGACGAGTGGACTTGACTCCAACTTATTCTATTCATTATCTCGTATCACTGAGTAGGCCGTCTGGCTTGTTAAATTCAGAACGAATCATGAAAGAATCGTTAAATACGTGGTACTCATGAAAAGTCACTGGACTTATGCCAATAAATATGCTCTGTGTCTCATTGCAAATCAGCGCAGAGATTCCAGACACTCAGAGACTGATTAAACATTGTCATAAATGTTGAATGATTTTTCAGACA